ACTTTGAAAAAAAGTACTAAAAAGCAAAAGATAAAGGAAAAAGTCAACTCTAACACTGCCATCCAGAGTCAGAAGACTTAAAATTTCATTAGATTTTCTCCTAGGGCAAAAGGCTGGGCCAGGCATAGTGGTTCATCTGTGATCCCAGTACTTTGGAAGGTCAAGGCAGGCGAGTTGCTTGAGCTCAGGAGTTTGAGACCAGCCTGGGCAATATAGCAAGACTTTGTCTCTACTAAAATTAAAAAATAAAAATTAAAAGCCTGCCTGTGTTAAAAAGGAAAAAAAGAAAAAATGTCCCAAACAAACCATGTATTCATGTTGAGGGCTGTTTGCAGGGAAGGGCCATTACTGGATGGGTAAAAGATGCCTATCAAGGTGTCCAGCACCCCTAAGGACATTTGGTGAGAGAACCAGGTGTGAAGTCCATTACCAAGAGAAGCAGGTACTTCTGCCCTCCTGAGCCTCTGGTCTCCTTCATTAGGCCACCCACAAAGGTGCCAGTGGTGGTACTAACTCTATAGAACAAATTCAGACAAGACACTTGAAGGTTATAAACACTTCTTTTCCATCAGTACCTGCCCCAATTGTGGATGAATAGTGATTTGAAGAAGGCACCACAACTTGCCCAAAAGTAAGGCAGGTTAGAGAAGGCTCTGGAAGGCAGAGGAGAAGCAGCACTGTCCAGAGACAGAAGAAGAAAAAGTGAGTGGTCTCCACCAAGCCCAGGGCCAAGTTTCTGGGTCGCAACATGGTCATTCCTGTGGCGGAATTCAAAGCTTGGACAGAAGTGACCTCAGTCTCCGTCAGCCCCACATGTGACCTGTGGAGGCCAGTTGCTGATCAAGGCACAAACGCAGCTGTCTGGGCTCCCCACCACAAACCAGCGCGGTGAGGGGGAGCAGCAAATAGTTCTTCTATTATTTTAGGATGTTTACAGACTGACGCGTGCTGAGGAAACGTCCACACGTAAGCAAGTCATTTTTTTAAAACCTCTTATCTAAGCACGTGCACTGGTAGTCACACAAATCCATGACTGGGTTCATTAATTCAAAGCACATTTCCTGAGTAGCTACGACACAACTGGACAAATGCTTATGGAGTCTCCGCGTGTTCCAGACACGGCGCTCAGTGCTAAGGATCCAGCACAGCAAAGAGGTGGGCTCATCTTAAGGGACTCCCTATGTAGTGGGGGAGATGGGCAGTTAACACAGAGGGTAATGGCTAGTTAAAGAGGGGGCACTTCTCCAAACTAAAACCAGGCATAAAAGGACTAACGACCTAATGTGGCATACAGACTGGATCCTCATTCGAACAAACCAACTCTAAAGGTCATTTCTGACACAATCAAGGTGGACAGGTGACGTCTAAGAAGCACTGTTAATACGTGCAGTAGTGAAATGTGGTTATGCAAGAGAATGTCCTTTTTAAAAGAGTTGTGTACTGGATTATATAGAAGCAAAATGACATGACATTAGACATTTGCTTTAAAACATTTCAGGAATAAATATTCCTTTCAGAGGGAAAGGGAGAAAAAGAGAGAGAGGAAGCCAGCAAGGCATAATCTCAATAACTGTGGAAGCTGGGCAATGAGTACATGGGGCTGATGAAGCTAGTATGATTTTGTGTGTGTGAAAATGTTTGTAATATTTTTGATGAGAGGACTGCGATACATTCTGGTAGATACCCTCGTGGACATAGCTCAAATAAAGGCTAACAAAATACAGAGCAAAGAGCACAGAGGATTTGCAAAACCAGAAAATAAATCTGCCAAGTTTATGAGTGTTTTAAATGCCATTTCATAGTGAGGTGAGAAGACATGTTCATAAATAATTACAATATAGGGTGAGAAAGGGTAAGTACTGTAGCCCCACTCATCTCCAGGAGATACATCCCAAGACCCCCAGTAGATGCCTGAAACCTTGGATAGTACCAAACCCTATATATGGTGTGTTTTTTCCTATACATACAAGAGCGATTAAATTTTCTTTACAAATGAGGTACATAAAGAGATTACAACATTAATGATAAAATAGAACAATTATAACAATATACTATAATAAAAGCGATGTGAATGTGGTCTCCGTCTCTCTCAAAATACTATAATATTTTCAGACCATGGCTGACTGTAACCAAAACCTCAAAAGGTGAAACCGCGGATAAGGGAGATGACTGTGCAGCAGAGGAGCTATACCTGCCAAGCCTCCAGAGTTCAGAGACAGCCACAAGCTTTTCCTACTTCCCATAGCATTTAATTCTCCACACTCAAACCTCACTCATACACGCTGTGTGATGCAGGCAAGTTGTAACCTTTTTTGTTGTGGTCATTACTAGAGACAGCAGTCTTGCTATGTTGCCCAAGGTGGTCTTGAACTCCTGGCCTCATGGAATCCTCCCACCTCGGCCTCCAAAGTGCTGGTTTTACAGGCATGAGCCACCACACCCAGCCAAGTTGTAACCTTTCTGGGTCTCAGCTTCCTCATCTGTAAAATGCAGTTAACCCCACTTACTTCTTCAGAGGTGAAATGAAACAATAGAACGATGTAAAGAATGAAACATCTCAGCATGATGAACAGTATTCTCTTCTCTGACTCTTTAAAGAATAGAGACTGTTAGCCCTCAGAGGGCGTCTAGGATTAGCAATGTTCCACCAAGTTATTCTTTTACCCATACCACGTCCTGTCTTGCCAGAGCCAAGGCTTCCACCAAGAAGACAAGACCTCTACACTTCAGCAGTGGGAAGCAAAGGGTGCAGGCCCATGGCTGGGAGGCAAACCCAGGTATGTGTGTAGACACGGGTGGAGAGAATAGAAACATACCCCAATTATAGGCAGAGAAGGAATCTGGGATCATATGGCTGCTCCTTGCAGCCTGGGAATGGGCCTCCAATGGCCACAGCCACAACCAGGCATAGTTCTTAAAAGCTGACTTATACTAAAGTATAATTGATTAGTATCAGTTTTCATGATTTTCATGACATCATGAAAATAAGTCATGAAAATCATGACTTATCATGATTTTCTTTTGAAAGAGGAGATGAGGAGAAAGCTAGAGTCCTAGGCCTGAAGGAAGAGGTGGTGGAGATAAAAGTGATGTCATGTTTTTATAGAGTATGTTCAAACTGGATTTCAATTACCCCACAACCATAATACTACACCCCAACACCAGTGCCCCCCCAAAAGTCCCACAAAACTAGAATCAGTCCCAAGGTAGAGGTTATTTCAGCTAACACAGTCCTCCTAGACTATACCAGAAGCCAGCTTCTCAGAGGTGAGGCCAGGTCAATGGCAGAAGCAGGCTTGCTTCCAAAATAGCACCCAATCCCTCCCCATAGCAATCTGACCAACACTATCCACTACTCTCGACTAGGGGGAGGATAAGGGGTTTGCAGGTTGAACAACTTGGCTAACCTGGGTCACTTCAACTGTTTTGCCAAAGAAGCATCCCCTGAAATCCTGGTGGAGGGCATCTTTCTGAGGCTGGGAGGCTCTAGTCAGCACGCTGTGGGGCCATAGTCCTGCACACAGCACACCACTTCCCACAGCCATGAAACAAGAGCACTCGACTTACAATGACAGGGCCAGGACCTGGCTCAGACACTTGTTGTGTGACCTTGGGCACCTACCATACCTGAGCCTCTTTCCCCATCTCTAAAATGGGGAGGGCAAAACTCTTAGCGTTTTTGGAGAATAACCATGAAATTGGCTGCAAAAGTGCCACAAGACAAGACCTATTGCCCAGTAAGCACTTAATAAATCCGCCTTCTCTCTGCATGAAGAAAAGTGAGTTCTTATTGTATTAAAGTCTCCACGGCTTCGCGCAGGGCTGCCCTGGAGACTGGAGGCCCACTTGTTAGGTCGACTGCCACTGGAGAGGGGGAGCAGGGCAGAGTAGGTGCAGGGGTCAGGGAACCTGGCACAAACATTGGAGGGCCAATTCGCCTCTGGCTTTTCTCCCATGGGACCTGCCCACAAGGGACCTGGCTAGTGACTTTATTCTTCACCAAAATCATTGTAGATTGTAGTTAACAGGCGACAATGACAGCAAGAGAGCCGGCACACTGCTCTAGGCCTGGCAGGGCCCTACAGGCTTCCAAATAAAAGTTCTTTCCGCCTCAAAAACCCAGGCCTCAGAATAAACAACGTGGAAGAAGACATACATTTACTCTGGTTTTCACATCCCCTCATCCCCATCCAGTAAAGGCTGTTCCCAGCTCTGCCAGTGAGGATGGCGGTGAATAAAAATTAACCCCACCTGCCCCGTCTGGTCCAGCAGCGGCTTAGACGCTGTGGGCAAGATTCCACCTCTGCCCGGGACCAGCCAGGCACCCACAGGGCGGGCGCCGCGGACACCTCGTAGGGGTGCTCCTGTGCCTGGAGCGAGCGCGGGCTACTGGGGATGCAGGGGACGCGATGCAGAGCGGACAGTTCCGCGGCCCCTCGGACCACTGCCACGACCCCATACCGACTCGGCTCCAGATCGCAGCCTGCCAGGCCACTGACATTTGGCCCAAGTTAACTTCCTGTTACTAAAGAGGGAGGGGACAAGGGAGGGGGAAAAGGGCGCCCAGTGAAGAGCTGGAACGGGGCGTGCAAGGCTCGGAGCCCCAGTCCTGGGAAGTTTGGGGATGGTCTTCTGCCCGGTGACAGGCGGCACTGCAGGCGCGTCACTCCCACCCCGTTGTGGCGCTTGGGATTTTCTAGGCTTGGAACTGCAGGGTTTGGGTGTTGCAGGGCGGAGTAAGAGGTAGTTCGGCGTGCCGGTGGGAGGCTTTTATTGCGTTCTAATTGGTTCAGAGGCCGGCCAGGGCCGCCCCGGGCTTCCCGGCAGCGCCACCTGCTCGCTGTGCGCCCCGCCGGGTGGGTTTGAGGCGGGGGATGCTGCGGCCGCACCTGACCCTCCCGGGCGTCGGACAAGCCGCAGAGTCCAGCCGGGGCTGGCACGGTCCCCACCCGCGCCCGCCCGCGCTCCCCACCCGGAGGCCAGCGCCGCCCCCGCCTTACCGAAAGTCGCACGGGCTGCCAAGCTCCGGGTCAGCGCCTGCCTCCGCCCTGGCCGCGGGCGCAGCGATCGGGCCCCGCGGGCCACTGGCGGAGCTGGGAGCAAGCGAGGCGGCCCCGCGCAGGCTTAGCCAGCCGAGCGCCTGCGGTTCTGCGCCGCGAGGTGGACCGGGCTGGGGAACGCCCCCGACAGCGGCGCGGCCAATGACAGGACAGCACGGAGCGCGCCCCGCCCCCGTGGGGCCGGCTGTCACCGCCGCTGCCGCCGGCGCACGTGGGCTGTAGCCCGGCCCAGAACGCAGGGAGTGGCCGGGCGCTCCCACCCTGACCCGCGCAGGTCGGAGACCAGGGGAGGGCTGCTGGGAGTGGGGCGTGGTAGCGCTGCGAGATGAAACCCCGGGTGTTGGTATGCGGGTATCAAGGGAGCGGCGAGGGCCTGGGCCTCACGCTCCTTGGTCTAGGAAGCTGGAAAGCAAGCCACCGCATCCCCTTTTGGACATGGGGGAGCGGCATGGCACTTCTAGTACCGACTGTGTACGTCCTGTGGACCTCCCTCTTTGCTTGGCTCCTTGACCACCCTGAGCTTCCGCAAACCTCCTTGCTAACTAATAGGATCTTCCCCTTACCTGGCCGTGCTTAGGCTAAAGCTAGTGGGAAGGGGGCGGTGGTGCAGACTACCTGTGTTACCTTGGTCAGATCACCTAAACACCCTCTACCTTTGGCTGTCAGATCCCTATCTTAATCTCTGCTCTGCCCACCTTCCCGGGTTACCCTTACCTCCCACAGCTCCAGAGAGCAACATTCACAGACAACACAGTGTGAATGGAGTGGGGCCTAGGGAGCACTCGGAAGCACTCTGTAGACTACAAATACTATAAAACACCTTCTGTTTAAATGGGTCTTGTAGCAGTTATCATGAAATGGGGATCTCCATGGGCAGGAGCCATGTCTGACTCACCTCTGGAACCCAGGGCACAGGGCTTGACCCAGTGTAAGCATCAGTAAGTGTCCTTTGAACTGAGCTACCTAGGCAGAGGAAAACAGGCAGACTTGAGCACTGAGAAACAGTATTATGGCTCCAGGCTGCTGGAATTTCCCCAGCACAAGACCACCTCCAGGAGACAGCACGTTCCCTTGCCAGACAAGTGCAAACAGAAAGTTTGCCTCCCCAAACCTGCAGCTTATTACTATTATTTTTTCTCTACTCTACTTCTTGCCATGTAATCCTACTCTCAGCCATTTGGTGTTTACCAGGGATTGTCCTACCTGGCAGCTCTCTTAGCTCTCTCTTCAGAATTCAATCAACTTCCTGTAGATGAACTTTCCAGCAAAAACTGTTCCTGCCCAATTTTCAAGGCCCAGTCAGCTTGTACTCTCAGAGGGCCAGCACTCCAGGCTGATGGAAATCTGCCTGTGATGCCAGCTTGGGTAGTGCCCTTCACATGTGATCTCATCTAAGCCTGGCTTGACAGGTGTGTATTTTATCATCATCCTGTTTCACAGACGTGGAAACTGAGACCAGTGAGGTAAAACAACTGGTCAACATCACATGGTTAGTAAGTATCAGAGTCTGGATTTGAGCCAGATCTGGCTCCAGAATCTACATGCCTAACCACTATGGACTGGGGTCTCTACAGCACTGCCCATGCCTCTAGGGTACTGGACAGGTCAAGCCTAACCCTGAAAGAGCTGCTCTGGGCCTGACCCACTCCCAGTCTATCCAAACCATCTGTCGAGCTCAGGCCAGGGCACTGTAAGGGAGAGGAGACTCCACTGGGCTGGCCCTACCTTATTTGGAAGAGTGATATAGAAAATCCAAGGCAGTGAGGAACTTCAGGAAGCAGTGTTACATCTGTCCCTACCTTGACTGCACTGGACATAAAGTCTCTTGCTATTGACCTGTACCTGAGACACCCATGTTGTGGATAGAGATGGAGATAGAATCATTCATTCATTTAACAAACCCTTCTGCGAACCAAACGTGGTCCCTGCACTCACGTAACTTATAATGCAACAGATGAATAATCAGAAGCATACAATGCTGGCCAGACATGGTGGCTCAGATCTGTAATCCTAGCACTTGGGAAGCTGAGGGCAGATCACCTGAGGTCAGGAGTTCAAGACCAGTCTGGCCAACATGGTGAAACCTTGTCTCTACTAAAAACACAAAAATTATCTGGGCATCATGGCACATGCCTATAATCCTAGCTACTCGGGGGACTGAGGCAGGAGAATCACTTGAACCCGGGAGGTAGAGGTTGCAGTGAGCTGGGATCATGCCACTTTACTCCAGCCTGGGCAACAGCTAGACTCCATCAAAAGAAGAAGGAGAAGGAGAAGGAGAAGAAGTGGTGCACAATGCTTTGGGAGCTGTATTGTTTATTACTCATATTTTTTTCTTTTACAGTTTTATCACCTTACCAATAGCACAACATTCTCCCTTGGTATTAAAACAAGCTTACTGCTATTTCAGGAACACTGTGGGCCAACCAAGTTTAACAAAGATAGCATTGCTCAGCACAGAAGTTGAAGCAACTTAAAAATTAGAAGTTACCAATGCATTCCCAGAAACTTTGCCTCCTTTCCCCTACCCTACTCCCAATCTTTTTAACTCAGGGGGCTCAGATAAGAAATACTCTTGCTAAGTGGGTCTGAGGGCTGAGAGGTGAGCTTTTCCTCGGATGCAGGGCAACCTGGGAACTGAGAAGGGCTAACTGCATGGAGGGAAATAAAACCTGGGGACTTCTTGAGCCAGTGGCCAGAGCCACTCACCACCTCACACAAGCCACCCTTGCTGACCATCTTCCTGCAGTGTGAAGAGGAGTGGGTTAAGGATGTCACAACTCACCTTCCTCTGGACTAAGCAGTCACCATGTGATATCCTGCTGGGCTGTGACTATGTCTAGGAGTTATACAACTCAGCTCTTCAAATGAAAGATCTAAAGTTAGGGCAAACTTTAGAGGAATATTTATCTAATCCTTTGCCTGTCAAATGAAAGAAAAGAGGCCAGGCGTGGTGGCTCATGCCTGTAATCCCAGCACTTTGGAAAGCTGAGGTGGGTGGATCACCTGAGGTCAGGAGTTCAAGACTAGCATGGCCAACATGGTGAAACTCTGTCTCTACCAAAAATACAAAAATTAGCTGGGCATGGTGGCACACACCTGTAATTCCAGTTACTTGTGAGGCTGAGGCCAGAGAATTCTTGAACCCAGGAGGTGGAGGTTACAGTGAACCGAGATCACACCACTGCACTCCAACCTGGGTGACAGAGCAAGACTCCGTCTCAAAAAAACAAAAGAGTGAGAAGAGAAAAGAAGGAGGGAGGAAGGAAGGAAGGAAGGAAGGGAGGGAGGGAGGGAGGGAGGGAGGGAGGGAAGGAGGGAGGGAAAGAGGGAGAGAGGGAGCGGAGGAGGGAGGGAGGAAGGGAAGAAAGAAGAAGGAAGAAAGGAAGAGAAAGAAAAGAAAAAGAGGCCAGGTGCAGTGGCTCATGCCTGTAATCCCAACACTTTGGGAGGCCAAAGCAGGCAGATCACCTGAGGCTAGGAGTTTGAGACCCGCCTGGCCAATATGGTGAAACCCCATCTCTACTAAAAATACAGAACTTAGCTGGGCACCATGGTGCGCACCTGTAATCTCAGCTACTCAGGAGGCTAAGGCAGGAGAATCGCTTGAATCCAGGAGGTGGGAGTTGCAGTGAGCCGAGATCACACCACTGCACTCCAGCCTGGGCAACAAGAGCGAAACCCCATCTCAAAAAAAAAAAAAAGAAAAGAAAAGGAAAGAAATGGAGGCCCAGAGACAGAAGGACACTTCTGATGGTCACAGAGTGAGTGAATAAGTGTGTTCCAGGCATGCAATGTCCCTTTCTCACTCTTAGCATGACAGACAAACTAACTCAATCTCTTTATGCAGCAGGCTCAATAGTCTATATTTAATAGCCACCTCTTCCCCAGGCCACTTTTCCAGGATGCTGCTTGTGGAGGTTGTCTGGGAGATGCAGATGGCCACTTAGCATGAGAGGGAGGAAGGGAAGGAAGGCCCAGATTCATCCCTAAATATAGTTTCATCTCAGACGGAAGCAATGGCCTCCACAGCACTATGCATGCCTCCCCCTGAAAGAACCCAGCTGGTGCTCGAGGGCACCATCGGTTATCCACCTGATGGTGTTCAGAGGACTGTGGGGGTGGCAATTCTGGCTTCTTTCGATTTCCAGCCTAGCGATATGCTTGAAGAAAGGTCAGAGTTGAACTAAGTGGACTCGTGATGAGAGATTTTCTGTAATGAAGCCAGGGTGCCTCTCAAGACGTTTGAATGGCAGAGAAGACAGTTGCACCAGGCTCTGGATCTCTTCCTAAATGCCATAGATCTAGAGAAGGGCAAAACAATGAGTGTGGTTCTCACTGGCTTCCTCCCCAAGCTGCTATCAAAGGGCTTTGGTCTTTCAGAAGGAAGAGGAAGACTGGTATCTGGACAGAGTCCAGTGACCTTGTTAAATGATGAGAAAGGGCTGATTGGCCCCAGGAACCTTGGGAGCTGTCTGTGGAGGACTTTCTAAGCCAGGAAGTGGAAACATTTGTATCTCCCACAGACAGACTCAGCAGTGTGTGAGAAGCAATATCCCTGGGGCCTTGTTCTAGCTCTTTATCATCTTCATAGACCTCAGAACAAACTGCTTGTTCATGGATAAAACATCTAAAAGTTTTCAAGGTCACTAAAAACTCATCAAGCCTACCACACTTTAAGTGGCTTTTCCAGAGGTGGTTTAGAGAAAAATGGCACCTGTCTGGGACCTGCTGAAGTCAGTAATGCCCTCGGAGGCACCCCATCATGTTGGGGAATGTGTGCACGTTGCCAGCAATGGTGAGAAAGTCAGTTCTGGAGAGCAGAGACCTGTGGCTGCAGGCAAGAGGTGACATCCCAGCCAGATATAGCAACCAGAGCAAACAAAGACAGAGCGGATGTGCAGAAAAGAAGGGAAGAAACATAGGGTCATGTAAGTAGTCTAGCCTTAGCCCCAGATAGACTGGGGATTCACAGACAATTGTGAAATCCAGGGGCATAATATAATTCTGACCTCTAGAGATCAAACGATGCCACAAAACCCAGAGCACCCTCATGGCAGGCTGGGCCATACCTGCAGCCTGGGCAGATTCCTGTCCACATAAACCCAAGCCCATTCCA